GCAGGAGGATCACGAGTTTGAGGCCAGCCTGGGTTACTTATTTTTAAAAATATGATTAAATTGTGACCATGAGAACTAGAATTCCAACCCAAAGTGTTTTCTTCTTTATTATATTTTCATCAGGGCTCTATTTTGGTGTCCCACTGTTGATTTAAAATGGAACTCATCTTTGGAAATTGATGTGTGATTACTTTGGTCTGTGCCACACACAGTAGGGCACCTGTGTGGCTGAAGCCACCATCTATGGTCACAATGATGAAGCGTTTGAAGGTTCCAGCCTTCAGGCTCAGAACCATTCGGAATGGCTCCATTGATCACTTGTTTTCACCCTCTGTTGTTGTTACAAGGACAGCGTCCCTGAAACTTGGTGCTTATGTAGAAAAGTGATTATGTAGTCCACAGGTTTAGAGGTCAGGTGGCCCCCTCCATTTGACTCCTTTTAAGGACCTCATGGTGACAGCATCACAGAGGTGAGGGCGGGCGGGGACCATCCAGCAAGAGAGGAATCCAGAGAAATCCAGAGGTGAGTTCATTCCCTTACATAGCAGCCCGCTTATGGGAACTGGGGATGATACCTCCCCAAGCTGCGCCCATCACCACCTGTCTCCCGGCAGGCACCACACTGGAGATCGGCCTCCAAAGGAGCCCGGTCTGGAGGACAGTGCTGCTCGTCAGTGAACAGTTGAAATGGGGGCACTTATCCTCTGTGGCTAGACTTCAGAGGTGCCACCTTCTCCCTTCAGTTGACCAATGGGCTGCTTCTCATGGCTTACGACGGAAGTCCTTTAACCATCGTGTCTCTGACATGAGGCTTTGCTTAAGATGGCTAAGTTGGGCTTCTGTGCAAAGTCCAGCTGATGGTTAGAAGCCCACTCCCCACTCTCCGTGGTTTGGGGAGCAAGCAAGGCTTTCTGAATACTTGTATTATTTTTTAACTTTCTCACCTTTGACCTTTGTATACCAGAGAACTTTCGCTGCTCTAGTTTTTAGAAAATTAGGAGATTTGCAACCTTCACATACACTGAAAACTTGCCCTGGAATTTTTTCATTAGACTCAAAGCAACATAGTGTCTTTTGGGGGTTTTGGCAGCTGGGAAGTTCTAAGAAAAATGTCTTAGCTGGAAACCTTCAGAAATACCTAATTTCCCCAGAGTTGCCCGTGTTTTGTATTCGGCAGAAGGAGACACAGGTAAACCTTCCATGAAGGCCTGCCGAGATTCCTATCAGCCTGTGCCAAGGAGAGTTACTCTGTATAAAGTGGCTTTGAAGATTAATAAGTAACAAGATGGCCACACATGGATTTATGAGTATTAAGAATATTTAAACGCTTCTGATATGTACACTCTGGAACTAAAACTGGTTGTGGGTCACTTGCTCTACATAGGTTGTCTTAAGAGAGAGACATGCATTTTTGTGTTTCTGATGAAGATTTCAGTGAATATGGTGATCTAAGGTGACCTACTGATCGGTGTCAGGGTTAGGTCCCCTGAGGCGCTTTGTCGGTGGAGAGGCCGATGCAGACCCCGCTTGGCCCTCTCTGCTGACGTTCTTTAAGCACAGTAGTGTGCCCAGGGCGGCTATCCCAGCAGCGTGCAGAGGATTAGGAGTGGCAACCCCAGGATACTGAAGCAAGCTTCCTGACAGTGAGCCGTCACACCGAGCACCCAACCCCGAGTCTGGAAACCGTTGACACTTACAAAAGAAACCAGCTTTGTAAGAAATGAGGTTGACATGGGGTTACCCTTCAAATGTGCCTTATTTGGAAAGACTGTATCTGACCACAGGCAGCCATGAGTGATCGGGTCCTGGAGTGGGAGATGATTAGGAGAGAGAGAGCCATCGCAGGTAGCACGATAGGGGTCATGAAGGGAAGCGTCCTTCAGTCCCCAGAATTAGGAGAGTTCATCTACTGGGACAGCATGATAGGTTCTTGAAGGGAGAGAGGCCCTGGCCCTCAGTTTCTCAGCTTCAGCACTGGTTTGTTATAATTCATAAGACACAATAGGCTTGGCTGTGGAGATAGCTCAGCAGGTAGACGGGCATGCTGTGCGGCTGTGGAGATAGCTCAGCAGGTAGACGGGCATGCTGTGGGCTGTGGAGATAGTTCAGCAGGTAGACGGGCATGCTGTGCGGCTGTGGAGATAGTTCAGCAGGTAGACGGGCATGCTGTGCGGCTGTGGAGATAGTTCAGCAGGTAGACGGGCATGCTGTGCGGCTGTGGAGATAGTTCAGCAGGTAGACGGGCATGCTGCACAAGCCCAACCACCCGATCCCCAAACCCATGGAAAGATCCAACGAGAGAACGGACTCTGTGGGTTAGTCCTGTGATCTCTACCTGAGTGTGACGGCATATGTGTGCCCCCAGCATGCGTGCATGCACCTCCTACACACTAATAATTTTTAAAATATCAAAATGGAAGCAGTTCATAGAAAGGAAAGCTAAAATGAATTGACCTAAGAAGAACTCTATTGGGATAACTATAGGTTTGTGACCATAGCCATGATGAGTCCCCATGGGAAAGCATTTGGAGAGTGTGTTAGCCAGAGGAACAGAACAGATAGAATGAATATAACACACACACTATAACACACACACACACACACACACACACACACACACACACACACACTTGGGTCAATGTATGGGATTTATTAGAGAGGCTTACATGCTGTGGTCCAACTCTTCCAACAATGGCTGTCTCTTGATAGAAAGTTCAGGAATCCAGTAGTGTGGATGTCTCAGCTGGTCCTCAGTATATATTGGAACCCTGAAGAAGTAGGCTGTGATGCCAGTGAAGGAATGAACTCTCCAGCTAGAGTGAAGACAAGCAGGCAAAGAGCCAGGGCTTCCTTCCCCCATGTCCTTTATATAGGCTGCCACCAGAAGGTGTGGCCCAGACTTAAGGTGGACCTTGCCACCTCAAAAGATCTGGATTTAGGGTAAGTCTTTCCACTCAGATGATTCAACCAAGGAAGATCCCTCACAGGTGTACCTAGTCACTTGGGTTTTAGTTAATTCCACATGCAGTCAAGTTGACAGCCAAGATTAGCCATCACCGAGAGCAAGTGTCATATCACAGTGGCATTGATGGGATCCTGAGTGGACAACCTTCAGATCCACAGGACAAAGGGAATTTCTGACTCTTGTGCGTTTCCAGAGGAGGGAATGGAGATGTTCCATGTGAGAGAGCCTGTGTGGCCTCCAGCATGGAGGGAGGCTGTAAACAAGAGAATAAGACTACAAAGGGAGGTTCTCTCGGGCTGGGCTGTCATGGTGGGGACATGGGGCTGGGCTTCCTGGCATCTGTAAACAAGAAGAAACTGGAAGGCCACTGTGCAGCAGCAGGCTTCCTTGTCAACTGTCCAGGGACTGAAGGGGCGTGGCCCGATTTCTGGGCGAGAGAGGGGCAGTTAGAGGGTCAGGGATGTGACAGAACAGAACACCTGTCAAATACACATTCGTTGTTGACACTTATTTTGTACTTTTGCAAGCCAGCATGGTCCCAGTCATAAAAATGAAAACCAGCCTAGATATATTAGTCAGAGACAGAGTTAACAAAAGGATTGTACTGAGCTAATTTGGAAGGACTGAAGAACATAGAAAAGTAGGCTCTGTGGTCTTGGTAGTCAGCCCTGCCCCGTCTGATGACAACGCTGACATCCCCATGCCACTTCCAGTCGGGTCAGATCCCTCTGCCCGCGTGTGGCTAGGTCAAGGCTGCAAGCCCTGAATGACGAACACCCCTAGTCACCAGCCACCAGCCACCTCTGCCGTAGCCAGGATGGGAGGGGAAGCAGATTCCTTCCCTCTGGTCTCGTACCAGCTCCCTAAACCCAAGCAGCTCCTCAGTGGCAAGAAGCTTGAGAAATGCAGCATCTGTCTTTGGCCCCTGGTGTTTGGGATGCTCAGAAGAGCGGGCAGGCGGCTCTCCAGGCTTTTTAGAAAGTGCTAATAGGTATCTGTTTTCAACTAATCCTATATAAATACAGGGTATAACAGTCCTTTCTGATTTGGCTCTTACAGAGGAGCAAAGAGGAGAACCAGTTTTATATTAAAGAATTCCGTGGGTTTGAAGACAATTTGGGGCATTTAAGCTCACACAACATAAAAGGAGCTGTGGAAGCTCATTAACAGGGTCACCCCTGCTGGGTGCCCGGTGCCTGTCTCTGTTCTTCCTAACCCTGCTATTTAAAGCCGTTGGAAGCAAATCCTATTGTGCATGTTTTTATACTTGCTTGACACTGCTTGGTACTTTTCTAAAGCAAAGTGTTGGATTTTCGGGTAGCAATCTGTTTGCTTTCTGAGTTTCTTTCCACATTTCTCTAGATGAGCTTGCGACATGTCTAACGCCAGTGGGCAATTATTCCAATAATCGCACACATGATCATAAAATTGGAACCATACCTCTGAGAGCTTGAGTTAATGACAGAATCCCTTAGCATATCGGGGTTAGAGTGTCACAGACCAATTTTAAGAATTAAGTGTCGGGCCAGGCAGTGGTGGCGCACGCCTTTAATCCCAGCACTCAGGAGGCAGAGGCAGGTGGATCTCTGTGAGTTCGAGGCCGGGCTGGATCGATAGCCTCCAAAAACAATACTGAGAAACCCTGTCTCATAAAAACCAAAAAAAAAATTTAAGTGTCGGTTTCTGAGTAGCTCACTGCAATTAGAGTTACAACGATCATTATGCTGGATGATAGCAGGTGGTCGCTGGATGATAGCATAGGCACATCGTAGTCACGCACAATAGATTGACCTAACAACCTTATTTTAAAGTGTCAGCATTCATAGTACACTAGGGATTCACTCCCTTGCATTCATTTAAACTGACAAAGGAAATATGCACAGATCAATGTATACACATGCCTAAGATACATCCTCATAGTTTAGGTGAGGCATATATAAGCAAAACTCTTGTAAAGGCGGTTGGCTTACGTTAGAAAGCGTTTTGAAGATGAACCTCCCCAGGTATCTTCATGTATTTTTCTTTGTTTCCCCAGTTTGACCTTGTCTGTGTCAATGCCTGGATGTTGGACCTCACCCAAGCCATCCTGAACCTGGGCTTCCTGGCTGGGGCATTCACCTTGGGCTATGCAGCAGACAGGTTGGTATGGGTAGGCTAACCGGTTGCGTCACTATGACATACTACATGTATGGGGAGGAGAATGCTTTCTGTTAACTACATTCAGTTTTTTTTTTATTTCACTGCCCAGGACATCCACACTTGCTTGGTTTGACTAATTCTTTCCTTTTCAAACTTCCTGTCCTTGTTCCTTGGTAGGAAAGTTGCCCTTGTGGGTCTGAACGCATCCCAGGGAGAACACTGGTCCCAGGGCAGTGATGTCACGGCTCAGGTGACAGGCAAGGGGTAGATTTAGGGTGCTCAAAACAGTCCAGTGGTTGGGGTTTGCTTCATTTAGTCAGTCTGCCGCTTTTAAAATTTTGGGGTTTTTTTGTATTTTATTCTACAGATTGTATTAAAAAGAATTTTTCTCAACATTATTAAGGGATTTTCATGTACATGCCATTTATTTCCTTGATGGCTACAGTTTGGACCTGAGGGATAAGAAACACCTACCTTAGGGCAGTGCTAACCTCCCATGTGGGAGGAGCAAAATGCAGAAGTCCAGCCCATTCGACTCACCATCCAGTCTAATTCTAACTACCACATCCCAATTAAAGTTTGGATTGCATTTTTCACATTTTTATTTATGTTGCTTTCTCATTCTGGATTTGTCCTCTTGGTTTTAGACAGGGTCTCACTGTGTGTATGAGATGAGATTCAAGCTCTCACAATCCCCCTGCCTCTGTCTCCTGAGTGCTGGAACTGCAGCCATGCAATACCATGACAGCTATTTCTACTGTAACTTTAATTTTTAAAAAATTGGCTTTTGCTTATATACTTTATCCTGCATGTTCAATAAACGAATATCTTAAGTAACTCCGCATAGGAGAGGACCCAAGCTCTAGTCAGGGACTGAGGGTCTTCCCTGGTAGCTGACTTGAGCTGTAAGTAACCCTGCCTCCTATCAGCACTGACCACCGGTAGGTGTCTTTTCTTCCTGTGTGTCTGTGATTTGTATGGGAGGCGTTTCAACAGACATATACCCATGAGAAGACAGAGTGCAGGGGTGAGTTAAGACTCTTGATAGGGGCTTTCAAGTGAGGAGCTCCCAGACCTGACGAGAATGAGAAGACAGAGTGCGGGGGTGAGTTAAGACTCTTGATAGGGGCTTTCAAGTGAGGAGCTCCCAGACCTGACGAGAATGAGAAGACAGAGTGCGGGGGTGAGTTAAGACTCTTGATAGGGGCTTTCAAGTGAGGAGCTTCCAGACCTGACGAGAATGAGGCTGAGAAACCTGCCAAGTCAGCACCTCTGGCCAGCTGTGAGGTCACAGGGTAAGCAGCTGCGCCCCAAATTGCAAAGCTAGGTAGATTTACAAGTAACTGGCACTTACTGGAGCAGAGGCTGCTGGGTAATAAAAACCTGACCCAAATCGCTAGAGTGTTGGAAGCTTAGTGTGTGAACCACTATGAGACTGGAAGAACCCTAGGATATGGCTAAAGATAGGTCAGTTGTAGAGGAAAGGGAGGAGGGGCAGAGGGAAGGACGTGAGGAGGGGAAAGGGGTAAGGAAGGGGGACAGGAGGAAGGAGAGGAGGGAAAAAGCGAAATCCAGGGAGACCTGGTCGTCAGGTTCTCTAGAACTGTGGTTACAGATGTTGTGAGTCCTGGTGCGGGTGCTGGGAATTGAGAGCAGGTCCTCTGGAAGGAGAGAGAAGACTCTAACCAATGAGCCATCTCTCCAGCCCCATGTTTGTGATCTCTGCCTCTTCTGAGTCTACCAGGTTTTCACAGTGACTGTCAAGAGAAACCCCTTTGTGCTTTTGTTCAGAATAAGGCCTGCTCCCGGAAAACACACACACTCATGCACGCACACTCACATACATTAACATTCACACACACACACACACACACACACACACACACACACACTACATAAAACACAAAAACCCAGCCTGGCTAATTAGAACCTACTCTGCAGGTTTATGAATGTCAGACCTGAAGGATAAGAAACACCTACCTCATGGCAGTGCTAACCTCCCATGTGGGAGGAGCAAAATGCAGAAGTCCAGCCCATTCGACTCACCATCCAGTCTAATTCTAACCACCACATCCCAACTAAAGTGAAAGAGAAAAAGTGACATGTCCTCGATGTCGTCGTCTGCAGTCTAGATAAACAAAATTCAGTCACAAGGCACCCTAAGAGGCAAATCAAAGAAAACCCTGAAATGCCAGCAGACAAACCCGCAGCTTGCACAGGGAGCGCACATCAGAGCCAGACATGGGCCTGGAGAGGGTGGCGGAGCTGTTAACCCAGACAAATTTCAAACTATGCTTAATGTGGAAATCGATTAGTGGACAGGGTACAGTGGGAGAAAATGGACAATGCAAACAACGGTGGAAATTCTAAGAACCAAAAAGAAATACCCGAGATCAAACACTGTGAAATGAAGAATGCTGTTAGTGGGTTTGTGAGAAGATGAGGCGTGGGGGTTGGGGCACGGCTCAGCGGGGGAAGTGCTTGCTGTACAAGCACAGGGACTCCATATGGATCCCCAGCACCCACATCAAAGCTGAGCATGAGGGTGCACACCTGTAACTCCAGTGCAGGCGGGCAGGCACAGAGACACTTGCTGGCCAGCCAGCCCAGACAACCTGACAGACGCTAGCTCCAGCAGGGTTCCCCCCTACACCAATATGGGGTCTCAGGTAGTCCAGGTTAGCCTTGACTGTTGTTTAGTCAAGGGTGACATTGAACTTCTGATTGCCCTATATCTACCTACTAAGTGCTAGGTTACAGACACATACCACCATGTCCAATATAGAGTTTCATGCATTACAGACAAGAACTCTTTTTTTTTTTTTGGTTTTTATGAGACAGGGTTTCTCTGTTTTGGAGGCTGTCGGTCTAGCCTGGCCTCGAACTCACAGAGATCCGCCTGCCTCTGCCTCCCGAGTGCTGGGATTAAAGGCGTGCGCCACCAATGCCCGGCCAGACAAGAACTCTTTTACCAGAGCTTACACCCAGCCCAACACTCAGTCACAACGAAACAAAAGTTGTCAGAGTGCATCAAAAGAAGATTCGGCAATAAGTTACCTACAAGTAACTCACTTTAAATATAAATATGCACACAGTGAAGGGTAAATGGGTGGAGAAACATATACCACACTAAGAATAACCAAAACAAAGTAGAACTCATTATATTAATACTAGGAAGGAAAACTTCACAGGGGAAGCATGGGCTTAGTTATTATTCAACAAGACACAATAATCTTTAACATATATGTGCCTAACAACAGAGTTTGAAAATACAGGATGGAAGCATAAAGAGAAACAGATGAATCCCTCATTGTCGTTGAAGACTCTAATGCTTCCTTTCTGAAATGTAAAAATCCAACCAACAGAATATTACAGTCAAGATGTAACAATACCATCAATCGACCGGGTATGATGGACATCTACAGACCATGTCATCCAACGAGAGCAAAATATAGGTTCTTAAATACACGAAAGACATTAATAAAGTTATATTCTGGGCCATAAAATACATTTCAACAAAATTAAAGGACTAGAAAGTCATACCACATTTAATCTTTTGTCTCCAAGGAATTAAACAATAACTGTGTAACAAGAAACTGGAAACCCCCAAAATACTTGGAAATTAAACATACATATTTCTGGTAACAGAGAAGAAATCTCAAGAGAAATTTAAAATATTTTAAACACAGTGGAGATAAAACAATTTACCATATTTTGGGTGCAGAAAAACAATGCAGAAGGGAAGTTACAGCATTAATATGTTTATTAAAACATGAGATTTATCTAGAACCCACAATCTGAGTCTATACACTAGGTAACAACAACAAAGATGATCAAATTAAATCCTAAGTGAACAGAAGAAAGTTAATGATACAAATTAAAACAAAAAGAAACCAAAGATATTGAAAACAGTAAGTCAACACAGAAAATTAATAGCCAAAGGCTGGTTTTTTGGAAAGCCCCTAAATCTAATAAGCTTTTAGACAAGCCAACTAAAAGAAAAAAAGATAGAACTCAAATTAATGATGGCTTGAAAACGACTTCAAATAGACTTTAAAAACACAGTGAAGGAACAATGTAAATGACAATGGCCCCAGATTTGACAACCAAGGTCAAGTGGGCCTGTTCCTTGAAAGACATAACTTATCTAAACTAACATAAATAGTGAATTATTTTAATAGGCCTATGCCTATTAAATAAATTGAATCAGTAATGAATAACCTTCCAAAACCAGGTTCAGATTTGGGGTAGGTGAATTTTACCGCTTGGCAATAAATTATTCACCGTTGTCTCCATTTCTTTCTGAAGATAAAGGTGAAGGAACACTCCCTAACATGTTCTGTAACATCAGCATTATCTTACTGCCTAAACCAGATGAACATATTAGAAGAAAACAAAACCTCATTGCCTTTAGCTTTTATAAACACAGGTGCAAAAACCACAGGATAAGGGTTGGCGACGTGGCTCAGTGGTTAAGAGCACTGGCTGCTCTTACAGAGGTCCTGGGTTCAATTCCCAGCACCCACATGGTGGCTTATAATCAGGTGTAATTCCAATTAACTGTCTGTAACTCCAGTTCTAGGGCATCAGATGCTCTCTTCTGGTACACATATGGTGCAGAGCTGTACCCAGACAAAAACCCCATACACTTATCAATTTTAAAACCAAATAAATTAAGGCTAATGTATTAACAAGCGTGCGGAGCCACAGAAGCTGCTGTTCGTTGCTGGTAAGACACATGATGACCCAACAGAGGGAAGCCAACTTGTCACTTTCTCACAAAACTAAATGCATGGGACTGGAAATTATTGTATTGGTATTTACCCAGCAAGGCTGGAAAATGTACATCCACATGTGATCTCTCATGTGGGCTGTGCAGCAGATTTATGTACAATTGTCAGCATCTGGGGCAGCTCAGATATTTTTTCAGTAGGTGAATGAACAGATTATATCCAGATGGTGGAATATAACTCCACAGTAAAAAGAAAAAGCTAGGAACGCTAAAAAGATGTAGAGGAAACTTAAGCCCACACTGCTAAGTCCAAGAAGCCAGTCTGAAAAGACTACATACTGTGCAAATCCTATAGAACCTTAGAATGTTCCTATAGATCTGTAGAGCTTTCTAGAAAATGGCCAAACGTGGAGACAGTGGGAGAGTCTGTGGTTGCCTGGGATGAAGAGTGACTGCTAGGAATAAATAATGGGTTGCATTATTTTGCATTCCCACTAGCAATGAATTACGGACACGAGACTCTTCTGTATGACGTGGAAGGGTGGCTGCGTCCCACAGAAATGCCCAACACAAGAGTGAACTCCATTGAGCTCAGGAGCAGAGCACTTACCCTCCTCGTGCAAGGTCCTGGGTTTGATCCCTAGCACTGGAAAATGAAACCTGAAACTGTAGTTGTGCAATGATATGTCACCTTAAGCTTATTAATTTTCAGGGGTGCATCACTGGGTGGGGGAGTCAGTGACAGGACGAGCCGTGCATGTGTCAAAGGAGGGGTGCGTGGGAACTCTGTCTTTTCTGCTTTAATTGTTTGAACCTAAAACTGTTAAAAAAAAAAAAAGAGTTGACTTTTAAGACACGTCTGTACATCAAGGCTGTTTCCTTCTCTGCCCTTAATGCAAAGGCGCAGAAGTAAGGACGCTGTGGAAATTTGTAAGGAAAATAGCACAGGAAGGGAGCTCTCAAAGGTCATTAGGGATGAGCTCCTGTCAGCCAGTCACTTGGGCCAGTTCACAGCAGACTGGGAAGCTGACACAGCACCCCGCCCCTTTGTCTGCGCTGTTTAACTGTAGTCTATAAGTCACAAGGAACCAATAGCAGCGCACATTGATCGAGAACTTCATAGCTTTCACGTTAGAACTCCACTTACTACTCTTCACCAGTCACTAGAGGGAAGGATTGGGTAGGGAGCAAACAACCTGTGTCCTAGAGCTAGTTACCCACGCTAGCTACCCGCGCTAGCTACCCGCGCTAGTTACCCGCGCTAGTTACCCACGCTAGTTACCCGCGCTAGTTACCCGCGCTAGCTACCCACGCTAGCTACCCACGCTAGCTACCCACGCTAGCTACCCACGCTAGCTACCCACGTTAGGGTGAGATTGAAACAGAGGCTTCTGCAATGTGCCATGACTGCCTTCATTCTGCCCCCACGTCCCCAAGATGCAGGGAAACTGCAAGAGCAGCGTGGCAGAGAGGGTCACCACAGGGTAACCTTCAGTCTCAAAGGACATGTTGTGGGCTGTTAATTCCGTAATGTCACTCCAGACACGAGTTCCACCTGGTTTCACGGGTGTTGTTATCGATATTGTTTACTGTGAATGTGAAATTACAGAGGACGCATATTTTTTATTCATTTTATTTTTTTGCATATCTGACTTCTTTTTTTGTATCCTGTCTCATTCCGTTTCTCTTCTCTTTTCTCTTTCTCATGAAGGTATGGCAGGATAGTCATTTACCTAATATCCTGTTTCGGTGTTGGCGTCACAGGGGTCGTGGTGGCATTTGCACCAAATTTTTCTGTGTTCATCATCTTCCGTTTCCTGCAAGGTGTGTTTGGAAAGGGGGCATGGATGACCTGCTTCGTGATTGGTAAGACGTGTTTTGTTGCCACCACTCCTAGAGAACTAGACTGGGGAGGGGCCTGGATCACCATCCCCCACTTCGACATCCCGGAGACCTCATAGCTACACTTCCCCAAGTAGCACAAGGGTTTGGGGTGGGCCTCCGGCTGCTGCAGAGACTGGATGCTGTTTAAAGTGGGAGCTAGATAGAGAATATGAAATGCGGTCTCTTGCTTATGTCTCATCCATCCAGGCTGCTCCCTTTGGCTCTGATCTAGTCCAAACCAGACAGCTATGTTAAGTGGTAGAGGGTTTATGGCCAAGGCAATGAGAGAGATCATCTGATAGCATTGTCCCAGATGTTGGATTACTTTTTTTTTTTTTTTGATTTTTCGAGACAGGGTTTCTCTGTAGCTTTGGAGGCTGTCCTGGAACTCGCTCTGTAGACCAGGCTGGCCTCGAACTCACAGAGATCCGCCTGCCTCTGCCTCCCGAGTGCTGGGATTAAAGGCGTGCGCCACCAATGCCCGGCTCAGATGTTGGATTTCTAATCCCTCCCATGACTACTGTGTGAGACCCTAGCAGGGATGTTTTAGATACTCGAAGCTCTTTTTATGATGGGAAAAGGAGAGAGGGTACAAGGAGGGGCTGAGAGTCGCTGGATGGAACAGAGGGATAACTGAAGCGTGTGACATTTTTAACACAACCCATGTCTGTGGGGATGTTTAAGACTGTGAGGTTAGGGCAGCCGCAAGGCAGCGAGAAAAACCAGCCAGTGGGGACGTGTAGAGGAGGTCGGGATCCCAGCAAAGAAACCGCCCAGGTGGATTTTAGAGATCTGATATATACATGAAAAGGCAAACGATGGGGTTCACAATCTAAACTGTCTTGTGGTGGTGGAAACTATGATGTCCGTGATACTCTCCCAGCGGGACTATAATGTTCAGATCCTTAGTGTTACGGTGAGAAAGGTGAGCTAGCTTGCTGTGTTTATTTTGATAATGACAATGGCCTTCTTAGCAGCGCTATTGAGGTCCTGAAACCAGCACAGGTGTCCCTTGTCCTCTTCAACCACACCCAGAGGAAGCCCGAGGATAGCAGTGCAGAAAAAGTAGAAGAAATGCACATTGGGTACCTGGACAGCCATCTTCAGCAGTTCAACACACGTGGAAGCCTCTGTGTCCTGACATTCTAGTGTTGAGTGGGTGTCAAGTCTGTTTGTTTTGCAGGTGGCGGAGCGCTCCCCTAATCTCTTGTGTCTGCTTTCCTCCAGTGACAGAAATAGTGGGTTCCAAACAGAGGAGGATCGTGGGGATTGTGATTCAGATGTTTTTCACACTCGGGATCATCCTCCTGCCCGGAATTGCCTACTTTACCCCCAGCTGGCAGGGCATCCAGCTCGCCATCTCGCTGCCCAGCTTTCTCTTCCTCCTTTATTACTGGTAAGGTGATGTTGGCCATCACTGCACTGATCCTATCGCATGAGTATAGACGCCAAAGCAACGCAGAAATGAAGGCAATGGAGGTGATTTCCTAAGTCCCCAGGATGCCTCTGGCTTAGGGAGTTACTAGAGAAATCTGATAACTTACAGAGATTATTGACTGCTTGACTGACAGTCGTCATGACAAATAGTGAAATACCCCAATACAAAATTCCAGATGAAGTAACTGCATTCTGACTTACCCCTTTGCAATGCTTTCATGAGAATTATGAGATAACAAACTCGATGTTTCACCATGCTGGTTAAATATGATTTAAAACAATCTATTGAGAAAATTAACATTCTCTGATTAATGAGAGGTTAAGAATGTCAGAGAAATAGTTATCAAGATGTTCCAGATGGATGCATTTGACTCTTACTGGGGGAATATAATCATTTAATCCCTCATTGAATTGTAATGTGTGGGCAAACCAGCCTCCATGAATAAGGTAAAGACTGCCTTCTCCTAGATGTGCACTAAGCCCTAACCCTTTTCATATCTGCAACCAGAGGCGCAGTACTGTCGGGTTCCCTGTGCTTGCAAAAAGCTGTGTACTGTGGAGAATTCTTTTTGCAGCAAGTTAGCGTTTTTTTTTTTTCCTCATTCATTGCAAAGAGAATTCATTTCTGAGAGTCTGTTTTCAATTCTGAGAACCATGCTGACCTGCAAGCTACTCACAGCATGATCCCTTTGACTGGAGAGACCCAGGAGCTTTGGGGTTTTCAGATTTCTGACCTGATTCTGCCTTGTCTCCCTCCTCGCCAGGGTGGTTCCCGAGTCTCCCCGCTGGCTGATCACCCGGAAGCAAGGAGAAAAAGCTTTGCAGATCCTAAGGCACATGGCTAAGTGCAACGGGAAGTACCTCTCGCCAAATTACTCGGAGGTAAAATGTTGCTCATACATTGTTAAATTGGGCGAAGCAACTTTTTGTGACTTCTGTGCTTAATTCCCGCTAAATTATCCATATAGACTATTAAACATCTGACGGGATCATTTTCAGTTGGGGTTAATCGATCATTTCAGGTCGCCCTTCTAATAGTTACTTGCACGGTTCTGTACTGTAGATGCGTAGCGTCTCCTCAGCCATCTTGGTTGTCAAGGTTATTGATTTTTTCTCAACATTTGAGTCTCTCTGATGAATTCGGTCCTGATATACTTGTTGCTCTTATTGCCCTCGCCCCTGCCCATGTTTGGGATTGAACCTGGGGTCTTGCACAAGCCAGGCAAGCTGAGCCCTATCCCTAGCCCCAAGATGTGTTTTTCAGCTGGCCTTAGGAGAGCTATTTATTCACGCAAGATCTTGAGCAACAATACAATATTTTAGTTTTAGATGACTCTGTCCCTGCCCCTACCCCCACCCCTCAACGCCCCACCTCCCCACTTCAGAACAGCTCCTAGTTTGCCCTTTGGAAGTTGTGATAAACAGCTGAGGGCACAGCACATATTTTAAACATATACAGAAATGGATTGAAAGTGCAAAGGCCAAGTGAGTGTAGCCTAAGGGAGGGTTGTCGCCACGGGAATAGCAGACAACGGTTTTTAGAAGTCATGAATCTTGATTTCAACCTTGAAGAATGCTGGCCGGCTGGCACTGTTTTCGTTACGGCATTTGTTTTGATAGGAACATTCTCATTAAAAAAAATCCGCTAAGGAAAAATGGGATTGGTTGGTCCATCACCCTCTCTAGAGTCTCCAGGAGCTTGGTAGACTCCGCTTGGTCCCTGCCTCCTCCTCTTCCTCCTCCCTGCAGGAGGTGGAAAACAGTGGCTGCCTTGCCTATGAAGGTGTTGCGCACCCGTTAAGAACGAGGCTACAGGTCTAGTCCTCTGGAGCACTTGGCAAATATGCGGTGTGACCTAAAAACCACGAACCACTCAGGCTTGCTCATTCTTGTTAGTCTTTGAATGAGAATTTGAGATGGGAATTCGTCTTAGGGAAGAAATAATCCGCCACTCTGTCAACCTCCTTTGATCTCACTGTAGGTCCTCACAGTTGGAATAAGGTCATGGCTATGTGTGTTTAGGGTTTTGTGTGTGCGTATACGTGTGTGTGTGTGTGTGTGTGTGTATGTGGGTGCACATTCATGTGTGGATGTATGTGTATGCATGTTGGGGTCAGAGGACACACCTTAGATGTTGTTCTTAGGGCACCAGGTGCCTTTCTTTTTGAGGCAGTCTCTCATGGGCTTGGAAGCTCCCAAAGAGGTTAGGCTGGCCGGCCAGAAAACCCCGGGGATCCACTGACTCTCTAAAGCTATGGTTACAGGCCTGACATTTTTCTGCCTGGGTTCTGGGGATGCAACTCAGGTCCGAGTGCTTGCAAAGCAAGAACTTAGCAAACCAAGCCGTCTCTCCAGCCTTTAGTTTTTAATGGCTGAGCAAATATTTTTTTGCCATCGGTGTAGCAGCCTGCTGAAGACACTGCACACAGAGTCCCAGGGGTGTGTGATCTAGAGCAAGGTTTGTGAGGATTGAGAAACGACAGCTGCCTGCTGGGGGCGAGTGAAATGCAATACTGCGGCCATCTAAGTGTGGACAGAGGCGCTGTTCCACACACAGTGCTATCTGGCTCAACACTGCTCTCAGAGGCTCACGATAGAGGGCATTGTAGCAGGGCAGAGCTCAGCGTTCGACTTGACTGTGCTTGTTAAAGATCCTGAACTTGGATGCAGCGGCTCCTGACTCATCGTGGTTCTCACTTAAAGCCAAATAGGCAAGGGGTTTCTATCCAAAGCCAAACTTGATTCCCTGAGGAATTTATTGTGGTATCCAGTGCCACTGCCAGCATTTGCTACCAAAGCTATGTTTACTCTTCCCGTCTTCTAGTCTAATGATAGTTTTCTTTACCTATTTTTCTTTATAATTTGTTTTAATAAAAATTAAGGCTTATATGTGTAGGTGTTTTTACCTGCATGCAATCTCCACAGAGGCCAGAAGGGGGCATCAGATCCTCTGGGATTGGAGTTATAGACGGTTGGGAGGTGGCATGTGGGTGCTGGAGACTGGATCTGAGTCCTCTGGAAGAGCAGCCATTGCTCTTAACTGCTAATCCATCTCTCTAGCCCCTGCGGTGATGGGGGGGTTAATATAGAAAATTGCAAGCATATTAAAATAGGAAAAGTAGGTTAAAGAATCTCTGTGCACGTATCACGCAGACCCCTTAATTGCTGGCTTGTGAGCAAACTTGGGGTTCCTCTGCTCTGCCTTTTACTCTCCTTTGGATGACCATCCAGCTGCTATGACGCTGCATCTTGCAATATTTCTCTCTGAAACAGAAGCATAGACATACTGATTCAACTCTGGGATCGCAGGTTCTGTCCTCAGGACAGAGAGACTCATCTGACTTAGACTCATGTAAATAATCAGAGCTGTGATCCAGCTGCTGTGGATGAGAGTAAATGGAGGGGGTGGTAGCCAAAGCATAACCTCGATATCCTTACTCTAAGAATAAATGGTTAGACACAGTTACCTACTGTGGTACTCAGTGTTGCCAACTGGACACCCAGAAGGCACGCCTCCAGGCACACGTGTGAGGGACCGCCTAGATTAAGGTCGGCCTCTGAGAATGTCCGTGGGGGACTGTCTTGATGACATCAGCTGATGTGGGGAGACCATCTTAATCTCGGGCAGGACTGTGCCCTGTGTAGGGGATCCCCAACTGTATAAAATGGAAAGACTGCGTGCGCTGATTTTGTCACATGCACTGACTGATTCAGCGCCCTCTGCCTGGCTGTGGATATAATGTGACCGGTTCTTTTGAGCTTCGGCTCCTGTGACTTCCTTGACATGACAGACTGCAGCGTGTAACTGAGAGTTAGATTAACCCCTTCCTCTCTAGAGCTGCCTCCGCCCCGGGGTGTTTCATCACAGCAATGGGAAAAGAAACCAAGGTCTCTAATATCAAACAGCAAGGTAGCTTTTCCTGTTCTCTGGTTGTCTTACGATGGCTTGTAGCTCTCCGCTGCCCTAGCAGGCTCGTCATGGTGTTTAGATACGGTGATGGCTGACGCATCTCTTCCAGTTCTCTGTAAGTACTGAAAGTTTGCCTTCTGGTCTTCCAAGCAGTTCTGAGGATGAAGAACCTTAAAGCAGTTTTTATTTAAGCTAAGCTGTCTGACCTGTAGCCTGTGGGCTGTCTGTTTCTAGGGGAGAGCTATGAGTGCCTCTAACGGGAGGATTGCGAGCTTCAAATATTATGAACTTTGGGTGTGATTTTTTTTGTAACTTGATTGCCCCATTTTCTGAAGATGACAACTTCCTGTCATAATGTCAAAAGGTTGAGCCCAGCTTATTGATTCTAAGAACCCATTAACACGATCTTCTGTCTTTGTATTCCCTTTAAGTTTAGCAGTTAGAACTAGAGTTTAATTGAGTTCAGGCTTGATATTTTTGGCAAGCCAACTTCTTAAGCAGCTCAGTACATTTCCACTGGAGATGTCAGCTCACCTGCTCGTCTCTCTGGGGATGTTGGTAGGACTGACAATCATTTTTCTGGGGGGATTAACTCACCAGGAGTTGAAAATGACTTATTCACATTTCATCCTTACTGCTACATTTATTCCTGGAATATTTATGTAGACATGAGGCTTTCTTACCGACTTTTGGTTGCCTTTTTGCATATAGTTGTCCAGGAATGGAGGCTGCATGTTCAACTCTCCCTTTCCCCAGAAGTGAATTGGTCCCCAGTGTCTTCTAACAGGGTCTAGAGAGTCGCATTTTTTAGCGTCCTTGTAATTTTGCACTTTGGCAAATTACATGTTTCAGTCTCTTGTGGCTATTTTTGGTCATGTCCCGCTGATGTTCACACTGCCTCATCTCGGGCAGACACGGCTTACTGTGTTGGACCCTCCATCCCTCCTGTACTTTCTGGGCATTTTCTTGCTTTACTTTGGTTTGGTGGCATTTTTAGGCCACCTTCTAAGTTGCATTCTCATATGTGGAACCACCTGCTCTTTTTTTGGTTTTGCAGCATCTTTGTATTGAAGCTTCCCCCCTGACCCCTCCCTTTATGTGTGTGTGTGCGCCGTGTGCATGCTTGTGCATGCCTGTGTTCGCAGGTGTGTATACATGTCTGTGGAAGCCAGAGCCTGGTGTCAGATGTCTCCCTTGATTGTTTTCTGTTTCACTTACTGAGGTGGGGTCTCTCTGAACTAAATGCTTGTCACCCCAGCTAATCTAGCTAGCCAACCTGCCCGAGGTATCCCCTGTCTCTGCTTCGTAAAGGCTGTGATTATAACTAGGGTGGTGTGCTTGCCCAGTTTTTACATGGGTGCTGAGCATAAGACTCCAGTCTTCATGCTTGTGTGGCAAGTGACTCACTCACTGAGCCATCTCACTCACTGAGCCATCTCCCTGGCTCCACAAACCTTTTTACATCAACTGATTTAAGAACTAAAGAATTAGCATTTTTCAGTGCAAAACCCAGTGCTAAATTTAGTTATGTCTGGACAAACCACAGATTCCTGTCTCAAATGTTCTTCAAGTCCCATGAAGCATAGTAACATACAAAGTACCTCTTAGGATAATGCAGGAATAATGAGCAGTAGCACGGGCTGTTGAGCCAGAATTGAAGCCCAGTCCCCGCGCGGTTTCTGGTTTAGTTTTGGGCAATGGTTGCTGGAGTAACTCTACTCCAAATTCTTTCAGCATCCTCTGGGACCATCAGGTGAGCCTGGGAACATTTTCCTCTTATCCTTGGATGAGGTACAGAGTTAAGGCTCTGCCACACAAGCGCATTCGAGCCCCAGCTGCACTGCACCTGGCAACCTACCACTCGCTAAATCTCATCACCCAGCCCCGGCCACTGTCAGAGGGCAGGAAGAGCAACCCACCTACCTCGAGGCCAAAGCCTTACATCAGCGTGCCCAGAACCAGTGGAACCAGA